CCGTCCATATATGTGGAGAGACAAAGGGAAAACACGACAAACAGCCGATAGTGTAATATAGTCAGGATCCAGTGGTAAAATTGATAAAAGGAAGGTAATAAACTCACATTTGTAAGAGCTCTAACCAGCTCTGGAGTGAAGGGCGTATAGCGGTATAATCCCCTCTAGAGGAAATAGTGGAGAGGTGCGTCCGTCAATCCGGTCTGATTTTTCAGTGCTCCAGGATATATGAAAAACAGCAATAGCGTTCTCAATATATAAAGAATGAGTAATAAAATATATATATATAAAATATTCTCACAAATATAGAGCAGAAGGTACTGCTCTATTGGCACAGCGTTGGTGGAATGATCCCCACCTCGGATTGCTTGAGTACAGGATACAATAAAAATGCCAGGGAGAGTAATTATAAAAAGTGCATATAAAATACAATAAAAAGAGAATTGGTACAGGAAAAGAGTAAAAAAAAAAACTTTTATTGTTAAAATACACAATTAAAAAACATTAATGCGTTTCACCTTTCAAGGCTTCTTCAAAATGGTATGAAGAAGCCTTGAAAGGTGGAATGCGTTAATGTTTTTTAATTATGTATTTTTACAATGGGGGGATTACTCCACCAATGCTGTGTCAATAGAGCAGTACCTTCTGCTCTATATTTATGAGTATATTTTATATATATGTATATATATTTTATTACTCATTCTTTATATATCGAGAGCACTATTGCTGTTTTTTATATATCCTGGAGCATTGAAAAATCAGACCAGACTGACGGACGCACCTCTCCAAAATATCCTCTAGCGGGGATTATACCATGTGACAAACTACCCTTTGCCACTTACTTTTGGAGAGGCCTGCTTGCCAGCCTCTTGCCCTGTGACTATGGCCCCTGGGGTGTATTGCCATTTAAAAGGCTATTTGGGCATATTGGCTTTTAAAAGACTGTTTCTGCCTCTTTGTTTCTATGGAAGAATGTGCCTCTTCCCCTCCCCCTTTAATACCTATCCCATTGTTCTCCAGAGGGGGTTGTCCCAGGGACACTGCCAGACCAGTTTAAACTGGCTGTTTTGTCCCTCCTCAATCTCTCATCATCCCTTGCAAAACTTTAACCCCATCGCAAATTTACTCTGTTCGTGGGATCTGAGCGCTGTTCACCTACATTGGGCGCTCAGATACAAGCTATCTCGGGATAGGTTAAATGTGGGGGTTCTGTGTAATTATGTATTTTACTGTTAGTGTAAAATGGAGATATTTTCTGTACCTGGAGATAATTGAGTTTACTGCAGTGCCTTACGCCAATTATCTCCAGGATAGAGGGAAGGGATTTTATTGTGTATGTGGGAGTTTTATTTTGTTAATTAGTGTTCCCAATGGTTTGTGTCCCTTTTGTCACAGTTTACCACCAGGTCCAGAGGGTGTGCCTCTGTCCTGAAAACTTGTATAAAAGAAAGTCCTTTTGTGTGCGTTAAACAGACCTGCTTTACCCCTTTATGAAGTCTTGGCTCATGTTTGGGGGATGGGATAACTACACTCTTGGGGATTGCTATATCACAATACTCCCCTGAGTAAAAGCGGGGTGCCAAGCGTTCCGTTACACTGGTTGGCAGCGGTGGGATGGCGTCCTAGTGTGAGGAGAAGCAGCTCGGAAACACCGGTAACGTGTGGAGTATATTGAGGACAACGCTAGTATCCATACAGCGCCCCTGGCTACAGCAGGATGGAATCGCCTAGTTTTCGGACCGTGTTCCATGACGAGGAGAAGGAGGGGGCCACGGAATACAGGGATGCAGACAGAAAGGAAGTCTGGTATAATGCCCTGGAAAATGCCCAGCGGCGAGGCGACAGTCTCCCCAGTGATGAGCAGCGGTCACAAAAACGTGTGGCGATGCGGATGTATCTATTGGGAGAGCAGCCCCTGGATGAATGGGTGACAAGACTAGAGACCCTGGTATGGCGAGAGATCTGGCTAGACAATGCATACCAGGGCCTCTGGTGGCATACCGTTCGACATACCCCCTGGATGGACGAGCACGACTTCAGCTTCCACCCACTGGAAGCTGAAGCCCGGTCTTGGGTCCAGGGTGGGTGAAGGACGGCAAAACCCCAACCAAGCTGCGGCGGTTTGTGGGGCCTGCGGTGGTTATGGTGTTTGGGGGAGTGCTTGGAGCCTTTGGTGAGCGTTAGGAGTATCCGTCAGCGGAAGGTACCCAGTCGGGGTGCCAGGCGTTCCATTACATACCGCTATACGCCCTTCACTCCAGAGCTGGTTAGGGCTCTTACAAATGTGAGTTTATTATTTATCCATTTACCACTAAATCCTGACTATATTACACTATCGGCTGTTTGTCATGTTTTCCCTTTGTCTCTCCACATATACGGATATTTTACCCATCCAGACAGATCAACTCCTGAGGATTGTACCCCTACCTTATCCTGATATATTAGTGTGACTTTTATATGACTTTTAAATGAATATTTTACTATCCGGACAGATCCACTGCTGAGGATTTCACCCTATTTTATTCTGTTGTGTTAGCGAGACTCTACCATTTTTATTATTTGCATAGGCCTACTTGTTGTATCTCCATTTAGACCATTTGGTCTGGTTTTCATTGTTATAGACTACTACTACTATCCCTGAGCGGAGCACTTACCCCCTTCACATCTTTTAATGAGAGTGATACACAGGGATGGGGGGGCGGGGGGGGTGGTGGTTCGCAACAACAAGAACCGTACCTGCTGCCCTATGAAAAGGAGCTCCTGCAGTTCCTGGGAAGAGACAGCCTTTTTGGGAGAGGACAACTGGAGGTCTGCTGTTAAATTCATATTTGTTAGTCAAAATGTACATACCGTATTTTTCGCTCCATAAGACGCACCTAGTTTTTAGAGGAGGAAACCCAGAAAAAAAAATATTCTGAACAAACTGTTCCATAGTGTTTCTTACCATGGGACAGTTTGTTCAGAATATTTTTTTTCTCCCCTGTCCCATAATGATCTTTAACCCCCCTTTCCTCTGTCCCATAGTGATTGTTAACCCCTCCTACCCTGTCCCATAGTGATTGTTAACCCCTCCTACCCTGTCCCATAGTGATTGTTAACCCCTCCTACCCTGTCCCATAGTGTTCTTTAACCCCTCCTCCCCTTGTCCATTAGTGTTCTGATCCCATAGTGTCCCCCCCTCCCATTGTCCCATAGTGCACTTTCCCTCCCATAGTGTCCCCCCCTGCCCTTGTCCCATAGTGTCTCCCCCTCCCCTTGTCCCATAGTGTCCCCCTCCCCTTGTCCCATAGTGTCCCCCCTCCCCTTGTCCCATAGTGTCCCCCCCTCCCCTTGTCCCATAGTTCTCCCATAGTGTCCCCCCTCCCCTTCTCCCATAGTGTCCCATAGTGTCTCCTCCCCTCCCCTTGTCCCATAGTGTCTCCTCCCCTCCCCTTGTCCCATAGTGTCTCCTCCCCTCCCTTTCTCCCATAGTGTCCCATCCCCTTGTCCCATAGTGTCTCCCCCTCCCCTTGTCCCATAATTACTTACCTGTCTTGGAGCGTGGGCCGGCTTCACAGCGCGCTCCGCGGTCCAGGAACTTCTATTTCAGGTTCCGGTTTCCGGCGGGACTGACACACGCGCTTCCAGGAGGTTCCGGTTTCCGGCGGGACTGAAAGGAAGTGTGCACACTCAGTGTGCACACTTCCTTTCAGTCCCGCCGGAAACCGGAACCTGAAATAGAAGTTCCTGGACCGCGGAGCGCGCTGTGAAGCCGGCCCACGCTCCAAGACAGGTAAGTAATTCTTCACATTCGCTCCATAAGACGCACAGACATTTCCCCTCACTTTTGAGGGGAAAAAAAGTGCGTCTTATGGAGCGAAAAATACGGTATATCACTTTTCATGTGTTAACCCTTCAATTTGTGTTTTCTATACCATCAGTGCAAACCCCTCAATCCCAGGAAGAGGCATCAAGAACTGCAGGAGATGCTGTCTCCACGGAGAGTAGGGCAGCAGATTCACCTCCTGTCTCCCTCGAGATGCGCCTGGCTTCACTTTCTTCTTGTAAGTATTTGCATAGCATTGTTAGATATATGTTATATATATAAAAAAATTGATACAGAGTCCTGGTGTGTAGCCCAAATATATACCAACACACTCTAAACACCTGTGTGATTCACACCTGTGTGATTACCTCTCTATTCACACAAAATAGAAACTATACATACATGAAAGATAGGTGGAGTGCAGTTTAATTCTTAGGTTGATGGTGTAAATGAAAACTGTAACAGATAAAAAAAACATTGCCAGATCCTAGTTCAATACAGTCTGATATAAATATATACACAAATAAGACAATCCTTAAAGGACCACTATACCAGTTTTACTGGCTCTATAGGGTCCTTGGGTCCCCCTCACCCTCATGGCGCCCCTCCTGCCGGGCTCTAGGGTGAGGAGAGGGTTAATCCCTTACCCTTTTTCCAGCGCCGGGCTCCCTTGGTGCTGGGGACTCTTCTCCTCTTTTCCCCGTCATCGGCTGAATGAGCATGCGCGGCAGGAGCTGCACGCGCATTTAGCCAGTCCACAGGAAAGCATTCTCAATGAAAATCACAGTGAGAAGCGCGGAAGCGCCTCTAGCGGCTGTCAATGAGACAGCCACTACAGGCTGGATTAACCCATATGTAAACATATGTAAACATGTAACCCATATGAAACTGCTATGTTTACAACAGAAAGGGTTAATCCTAGATGGACCTGGCACCCAGACCACTTTATTAAGCTGAAGTGGTCTGGGCGCCTATAGTGGTCCTTTAAGTCTGGTACTCACAAGTATAGAGCCACTATGATAGGCTCAATGTGTAGGCAGATGGGAATATTAGAAGAGATCCCACTCCCTTACTTGGTGCAGGTGAGATTTCTGTTTTTTGGTCCACCCAGTAAATTCACTGAATGTGAAATGGCGGTATCAGGAAATATTTTATTAATTAAAAAACAAAATTAAACAAAATATGTATAAAAAGTCCAAAGTTTTGAAAGTACTTGCAAGACACGTTTCCCCTCTTTTGTAGGCTTCTTCAGTTGCTTGTGTTTTTCTCCGGTGGTCAGTAATTGTTGTTCATTGGAGTCACCTGGATCTGTTTTGAGTAGTTTCTGTCTCTTCCGTATGACGTCGCTATCCGAGGCTTCACATTGATTACGTACTTCCGGTTTAGTTCATATTTGGACTAAGCATATGCTTTCCACTCCTAGAAGAAACTTTATTGTCCGTGTAATCCTTTTTAATTTCACTCCCCAGAGTCTTTCTCATCTGTATAGCGGAAAAAAAGAGAATGGGGAGTCATTAGAGTGCACTTAAATTAGAGTGATGTAAAAACTATTGTGGTATATTCAATACAAACTATGAAAACACAAAATATTGCTGTAGGGACAGATGTGTGCATACCTACTTAGAGTAGTGGAAATAAAAAAGAATGGATATAAAAAAATGGATATGTAAAAAAAATACAGATCAGACTAGCAATGCTGAATGCTTAAGTACATATAAAAAAGAGGAAATTTTCTTTATGGATGATAAAACAATTATGGCTAAAACATGAAAGGGTCATAAAAAATGGATAAAATTATATAAAAAGGAGAGAAAAAAATATAAAAACTATAATAATAATAATGGATCCTCTTAATTCTCTCCCCAAATGAAGGACAAGGGATATTCCCATTGTGTATTCACAAGAAGTGACATAACTCAAAATCCAAATTGAGTCCATATGGGATGAGGGTGGGGGCCCTAAATACTAATAAGGGGGGGGAACCTAATGTCCTCCCCCCTGGCCCCCACCGCTGAGTGGCGGGTGGGGGTCCTAAATACTAATAAGGGGGGGACCTAATGTCCTCCCCCCTGGCCCCCACCCCTGAGCGGTGGGTGGGGGCCCTACAGTAAAATAAGGGGGGCACCTAATGTCCTCCCCCCTGGCCCCCACCGCTGAGCGGCGGGTGGGGGCCCTAAATACTAATAAGGGGGGGGGGACCTAATGTCCTCCCTCCTGGCCCCCACCCCTGAGCAGTGGGTGGGGGCCCTACAGTAAAATAAGGGGGGGGGACCTAATGTCCTCTCCCTTGCCCCCACCCCTGAGCGGTGGGTGTGGGCCCTAAATACTAATAAGTGGGGGACCTATTGTCCTCCACCCCCGGCCCCCAACCCCTGAGCGGTGGGTGGGGGCCCTAAATACCAATGGGGGGGACCTATTGTCCTCCACCCCGGGCCCCACCCCTGAGCGGCTGGTGGGTTCCCTGAAAAATGTTTTACCCCCCCAGGTGACTAGGGTTCCCCAAACCCCTAGTCACCCCCTCCGCCCCCCAAAAAATTAACCCCCTACCTATCCCCCTCACCCTAAAAATAATGATGGGGGGACCTTTAACTAAGTACCTGTAAATAAAATAAAACTTACCATTCAATGTTTTCTTCTTCTAAAAAATCCATAATAACCGACGGAATAAAAAAAAAAAACGAGCGAAAAAAAAAAAATCCATCTTGACCCATGGAGGGCTCCGCGCAGACTGAGTTCTGCAGGGCGGGGAAAGGCTTATAAAGCCTTGCCCTGCCCTGCATTAGGCTCAGAGGACTCTGATTGGTGGGTTTAAGCCAATCCACCAATCAGAGTGCTCTGTGTCATTTTACACAGTGTGGGAAAGTTCTTTGGAATTTTCCCACGCTGTGTAATTTGACTCATAACTCTCTGATTGGTGGATTAAGTAACTAAGGATGAGGGGGGTATGTAGGGGATAATTTTTTGGGGGAGGGGGGTGACTAGAGGTTTGGAGACCCCTAGTCACCTGGGGGAGGGGTGGCTAATTTTTTTATTTATGGCCTCCACCTGCCGCTCAGGGGTAGGGGCCAGGGGGGAGGACATTAGGTCCCCCCTCCAATTAGAATTTTAGGGCCCCCACCCACCGCTCAGGGGTGGGGGCTGGGGGGGGACATTAGGTCCCCCCTCCAATTAGTATTTAGGGCCCCCACCCACTGCTCAGGGGTGGGGGCAGGGGGAGGACATTAGGTCCCTCCCCTAATTAGTATTTTAGGGCCCCCACCCACTGCTCAGGGGAGGGGGCCAGGATTGAGGACATTAGGTCCCCCCTAATTAGTATCTTAGGGCCCCCACCCACCGCTCAAGGGTGGGGGCCAGGGGGGAGGACATTAAGTCCTCCCCCCTCATTCTAACTTACGGCCCCCACCCACCACTCAGGGGTGGGGGCCAGGGGGGAGGACATTAGGTCCCCCCTAATTGGTATTTAGGGCCCCCACCCACCGCTCAGGGGTAGGGGTCAGGGGGGAGGATATTAGGTCCCCCCCTTATTCTGATTTAGGGCCCCCACCCGCTGCTCAGGGGTGAGGGCCAGGGGGAGGACATTAGGTCCCCCTCATTCTAATTTAGGGCCCCCATCCACCACTCAGGGGTGGGGGCCAGTGGGGAGGACATTAGGTCCCCCTAATTGTTATAATGGCCCCCCACCCACCGCTCAGGAGTGGGGGACAGGAAGGACATTAGTACAAAGTATAAACAAACAAAGGATAGTACGATGATGCTTTGTACTCTAGAGGAAATTTAGTGGAATACCTCTTAACCACTAAAAGTAACCCAGGATCAAAATAAAAGAATATTGTATAAAAAAAACATTGAGCAATTGATTTTTTTCAGCATCAAGTCTTTTTCCAGTGCAAGACAGTAAGTTTGCCCACTAATAAATATCACAGTGTGCCTATTTATAAATTAGGTGAGGTGACTAAATCAATTGCTGGGCCGATATTCCTTAGAGATAATCAGAGGTGGAATGGTATTATTCAGATTTTTTTCCAGCTGTGACAGTGAATGTGCTGAGCCACTAAATCACAACATTCATTATGATAAGCAGATGTTGGCCCTTTAAAGGGAAACTATGGTGCCAGGAAAACAATCTTATTTTCTGGCACTATATGTTCCCCCTTTGTCAAGCCCTCCCCCCCATGGTGCAGAAGGGGTTAATACCCCCTTCTGTCACTAACCTGGGTACAGCGCCAATGTCCCTCGGCATTGGCTGGCTTAGCTCCACGCAGGCTCCTCCCTTGCCATCAGAGGGGATGACCTAATGCACATGCGTGTCAATGGCTGTGCTTGCATTATGGTTTACTCACAGGAAAGCATTATTCAATGCTTTCCTATGGGGATTCAGTTGATGCTGGAGGTACTCATGCATAGCGTGAGGACGTCCAGCATCAGTTAGGCGACCAAAAGTCTCCTTCAGCATGGTTGTGACAGAGTTTCCTGTATCTCGGCTGGGTACCTATGCTAAAGGACTGCTTCCTAGCTGGAACAGGATAGGGGACTAACTCTGTTCCCTTCCAGGGACTGGACGACACACACTCCTGGGAGCTCTAGTCCTTACCAGGACTTTCCCCGCCAAATCCTCCAAGAGTTGGAACAAGCTGGAACAGTGATTATTAGCCCTTTTTCACAGCAGTGCACAGCTCTCAGAAAGCACTAAAATTAAAAAGAATGTATCAGGAATAGTCTCAAATTTAACAAGTGAGAAATGGCAGGCACACCAAGACTCACAGAAAATCTCTAAGACAAGTAATGAGGCTAGCACAGCACAGAAGCACAGTGTGTCACCAACAAAACTCAGTCAAAGAAGGGCAGAGAAAGATCCCCTGCCTGCTTTTATACCGCTGTTTGGTTATTTTTTAAATTCCCACTAAAGCACTCACCATTGGATAAGCCCCTACAGCATCATGTCACAGGAGTTAGCTGCTTGGACAAATTAAAATCAGCTCACTCCCAAATCCATCTATAATACAGCATGTACCATTGGATAAGCCCGTACAGCATCATGTCATAGGAGTGAGCTGATTGGACAAATGAAATCCAGCTCACTCCCATACCACTCCTCTTTGTTTCATACAAGGCATCCGAATGAACGAATACAAGAAATGAGGCAAATTAGTTCATTCGTTCATTCGTTTCTACCATCCCCATATGCTGAAGCAATGAATTGAAAAAGAACTAACAGTTGATACGAATGCACAAATGATTTGTTCGTTCTGTGTGCGAACGTTGTTCGGCTCACTCCCATTATTTCATCCGTGCATTCATATTGTTCATTCGGCAGTTTGCATTGCGATATGTATTGCACACATATACTTTACAGACAGTACACTGCATGTCTGTAAGTCAAAAAGCCAAACTAGTGATACGAATGAACGAAAGGCACCTTCATTCGTACACATTCGTTAGTTCGGCTCAATCCCATCAGATTTGATGGGAGTGAACAGAACTAACGAATTAAAGAATGAATATATTGCCATTCGTTCATTCGGTTACTAGTTCAGCTTTTTGAATTACACAGGCAGTGTAATTCAAAAAGCTGAATGAACGAACAAACAAAAGGCACATGGAAGAATTTCGTTGGATGCCCATTCATTTGTTCATTCATTCGTTTTGTCTAGCCATTCGTTATTCGGTATTAGTACGAATACGAATGCCCAAGTCTAATGTTTATTTGAACTAAAATAAAAAATAAGAGGAATTTCTTTAGTATCTGTCTTTTGATCTTGATTTTTAATTTTATTGAAGACACAAAATCTTATACTGTGTGGCGGAACCAGCCTCGCCACTGGGCATTGGAGAAGACTGATTGCCAGCCTCCTGCCCTGCGACTATGGCCCTGGGATGTATTGCCCTTCTAGGAACTGATTTTGGTATATTGTATTTTATTATGCTGCTGCTGGCCCTTTAAGAACCATCTGGTGACATACTGTGGAGTTACTGGGTGTCCACCATTTCATGTATCAGAGGCACATGGTGAGAACAATGGATGAAGCACATGGTGAGAACAATGGATGCGGCCATTTTAACTCACAGAAACTGTTTGGACTTTTCTACACGGTGCCATCTCGCCGGTATTTGGTGCACAAAGACATCGTGCAGTAGTTTTAAACTATACAACAGGGGACACATTATACAGTAATTATTTTTCATATAGCCTGTATATGTTCTGCAGAATCTGCATTAAACTGTATATTCCAAACTACTGAACGGATCTGGGTGAATTGTGGATATGTGGTTCACCCAGATCCCCCGGTTCCGAGGATTTATGGGGTTATTACATGTTTTGGAGTCCCTGTGATATGTTTTATAATACTGTATTTCTCTGCCTGTGATAATTATATTAACCATTGTGTTCAGTAATCATATCACAGGTAGAGGGGAGGATTTTGTGTGCGAG